AATTACAGTAATTCACAAATCATATCAATGGTATTCATATTGTATTTTTTGTTGGTTTATCGTTAACAACACAACGAGAAGTACACGCTTTGAATATAATTTATTTTAAATATCAATAACTAATCATTTATTCAATGAACATTTAAGTCTAGTCATTGAAATTGAATATATAATTATAAAATACTGTATTTTCTAACGTGTGATTTGTCCCTGAATTTTGATTGAACGTTTAGCTAATTAAACGTAGAATTTAACCTTAAACATATTCGCAATATTTGTAAAAACTTGCTAACATTCAAACTATCAAGGTACACTGTGTGTGAATTAATTCAATACTATATTAAAGTCATAAAACTATTATTTTAAGGAAAGTTTTTACAGTTATACTGTATTTTTTCGCATGTTTAGTATCAATATTAAGGGAATACAAGTGAAAAACGGTATAATAACTTACAAGTTTCATGTATAATAGTTAAAATGTTTTTAAAACTTGGTAATAAAATGTTATAATATTTATAAAAATTATAATATACCTGTTTATCAATGCCCTCTCTTTTGCAAACACTGGATGTGGTAATTGCAACCCAAATACAATTCTTGGTCAGCCTTTATGATCGTCTAACATATGTCTAATGATTTGCGTGAGATTTAGTATTAAGATTGTAGTCTAATATGAGATTAATGACTGAGAAAAACACTGATTGTATCCCTTCTTCGTCAGCCGTGAGGACCACTTCACTGAAGATTAACTAAATATTTATCTTTTATTGACGAAAGACTAACCAAATATTTGTAGCCTTTATTTTGTCTCATTTCACATACAAAAGCAAACGACAAAAGTCTTATTCTTAGCAAAAATGTGTACTTTTAATGCCAAATGTGAATACAAAACATGTGATGATTTAATTAAATATTGACTTTTAATTAATATATAGTCAATGAGAGAGAATGTGCATTCAATTAATAGCCACATCGATTAATCAGCAATTTTGTTCAAATCATTTATTTAATTAAGACTTTTAAAATTAAATATCAAATAAATACAATCGGTTTATCATCAAAAAATGTGGACCAATTATCTCAAAAAAGTATCATTTGTTTTAATTGTTTATTTACATTACTATATATAATCTTATATTTGGTTTTTGTATTTGTTTTAATGCACATTAAATTCGTAATATATTTATTGCAATCAATTGTGTTTTAATGGTTTTTACTATTTATTGTAATTAATTGTGTAATTATTTACAAAGAAAAGAGATATTTACACGAGTCTAAGATTAAATGGATTAATTATGTTAATGATATTGCAACCATGTTTATGTTTTGATATAATAGTAGCATGATATATATTTTTGATAACTGTTAACGTTATCTAATATCGTAACCATAACTTAATATAAACTTTAATTTATAGTGTGATTACTGTGTATATTATATGATATCATAATGTTTAATAATTATAATTTTGTAGCATAATTAAACATTTATAATAATTGTTTTCATTATATTTGCATAGATATCAATAAAAATACATAAATTTGCGAAATTACTTTTTCGGTGTAATCGTTATTTAGATTTAGTTTATATTGATTTGTATGGCGTTTACACAATAGAGATGAGAGAGAAAATGACAATATTTAAGCAAAAAATAACAATTTTTAAGAAAAAGAGGCAAAAATGATGCAAACATTTCAAACAATTTGAGAGAGACTAGAGAAGCTTGCAATAGGGCGGTGCGGCCGACCCCTGACCCCCAATGCTGGCCAACAGTGGGTGTGTGGAGAGGCCGACGGCTGCCGAGGGAATTGGCCGCTCACGAGACCGATCTTCACCATAATGTTGACTCAATTGACTCATATTTGTAACTATTGTTTAACATTTGATTTTGTTTGTATTGAGTTTTACTCTTGTGTTTGTTTGGGATTATTTGTGGATCACTTTTATTCATCAAATACTCACTACGACTGGATTCAGTTGAAGAGCCGGATCTTCGCCGCTCATTCTGGCGGTTCATCAAACGCTCGCCCAATACTGTCAACTGTATAACAGTTTCATAAACTGTATTTTAATCGAGGGTACAATCAATTATACATTTAATCAGCGATAAGTTATTTATGGGTTTAAAAGTGGATTTATGTGTTTAAGCGAAACAAGCGAAACAACTCATACTTTATTTCTGGTGGAAGTGGCAATGATTGGACGCCTGACCACAGACGGCATCGCCACCGACGACGCGGTTGTGGTCATCACGTCCTCCAACGGCCACTTCTCCGGATCGATGCCATCCCTGCGAACCACTGATTTGCCACCACTGGTGCTGTTTTGGGCATATTTATGACCATTTGTCTTCAGCTCCAACTCATTACCCACGCCTTCCAAACGATACCAATGGGAGTCCTCATCAAAAATAAATGCCTCTAAACATTGAATGAAAAAGTGAGAGAGAAAATGACAATATTTAAGCAAAAAAATAACAATTTTTAAGAAAAAGAGGCAAAAATGATGCAAACATTTCAAACAATTTGAGAGAGACTAGAGAAGCTTGCAATAGGGCGGTGCGGCCGACCCCTGACCCCCAATGCTGGCCAACAGTGGGTGTGTGGAGAGGCCGACGGCTGCCGAGGGAATTGGCCGCTCACGAGACCGATCTTCACCATAATGTTGACTCAATTGACTCATATTTGTAACTATTGTTTAACATTTAATTTTTTTTGTATTGAGTTTTACTTTAGTGTTTGTTTGGGATGTATTTGTGGATCACTTTTATTCATGAAATACTCACTACGACTGGATTCAGTTGAAGAGCCGGATCTTCGCCGCTCATTCTGGCGGTTCATCAAACGCTCGCCCAATACTGTCAACTGTATAACAGTTTCATAAACTGTATTTTAATCGAGGGTACAATCAATTATACATTTAATCAGCGATAAGTTATTTATGGGTTTAAAAGTGGATTTATGTGTTTAAGCGAAACAAGCGAAACAACTCATACTTTATTTCTGGTGGAAGTGGCAATGATTGGACGCCTGACCACAGACGGCATCGCCACCGACGACGCGGTTGTGGTCATCACGTCCTCCAACGGCCACTTCTCCGGATCGATGCCATCCCTGCGAACCACTGATTTGCCACCACTGGTGCTGTTTTGGGCATATTTATGACCATTTGTCTTCAGCTCCAACTCATTACCCACGCCTTCCAAACGATACCAATGGGAGTCCTCATCAAAAATAAATGCCTCTAAACATTGAATGAAAAAGTGAGAGAAAGGAGAGAGAGAGAGAGAGAGAGAGAGAGAGAGAGAGAGAGAGAGAGAGAGAGAGAGAGAACAGAATATAGCCATTAGTGCTGTCGCCTCTATACTAATGGGAAGTACGGGTTATAAATGGTTTAATGTTTGAATGAATTACCGGATAAATCAATGACAACTTGACCGAGAAATATATGGGGCGTATAAATAGAGAAACTCCAAACACTTAATTCCAAATATTTGCGCTTAAAGTCATCCAATTTAATGTTGGGATAAACCATTGTTTGCTTCCACTTTGGGTTTAGACACCGATAGAAATACCGGGTTCTCCGCTGATTGTCAACACTATTGCGAATTCATTCAACAAAATAATAGCATTTGTTTGTAATTTGAAAGTTACAAAAAAGAGAGACCATTCTTACATTCTTGGCGGCAATAAATAGCATTTAACGAAAGGGTCGGGCGATTGGCCACCGGTTAGCTTTTGGAGATTGTGGGCCTCAATAATTGTCACGTAAAGTATTGCCGCTTTCATATCGTAACATATCTGAAGCTAAAGCACAAAAAAGTAATCCAACAAAACCATTGTTTTTGTTTGACAAACAAATATTAAATATCTTTTTTTGTGTGATTATTGTTTGTACGGATTGTATGCGAAATAATAGGAAATAATAAGATTCTTAATAATATTCACACGAAATATATTTAAAACAATTGAAAATCTGAAGCTTTTGGTCAAACATTTAATATAACGATAGGGCGTCTTCACAAACCATGTTCGCACTTCAAGGGAGGGGTACTTAAAGGGCTACTTTCGCTACCCTTAAGGGGGTGTACAGACCTTAAGAATGTTTGCATTTAAATAATTTAAGAAATTAAAAAATTAATTGGTTATCAAAGTTAATCTTTTGCTAACAACGGGAAATAACAACTATTATTGATTCCATACATGATCTTAATTAAATTATTTATAAATATAGGGGTATTTTATTTGTAAGGGGGAAGAGTAGACGGGACATGCGAAAGGTATTTTTTTATGACTACATGCAAACAAAGGGGAGGGGTCTAGATTTCTTTAAAAGTGCGAACGTAATATGTGAACGAGGCCAAACACGTATAAAAGATATAAATTAAAGTTAACATTTAAAGAATATTTAAATTCTATAATTATTAATAATTAAATTTTTAAATAGCAAATATAAAAATAGATAATTTTTCTAACACTGTATAAAAATACATTAAACTATTTTAATAAAAATCTCTTTATATTTAAATCCAGAAAATCTAGATAGTTAATTTAAGTTAATTTATAATTGAAGATAGACATTGATGTTTAATATATCTTTAATTAGTTAATCCCTAGATCAACTTAAGATCTAAGATGTTTAAGATAAAATATAATTGAAAAAATCAATAATTTGTTAAACTGGCAAAATTTTAATTTAATGTAAATTCATTTTTTAACAGTTCAAGATTTAAACATTTATACAATTTAGATATAAATTAATTGGAATTACGAATTATAATACATTTAATTAAATTATAAATCAATTAAACTATTTTATTCAATATAAAATTCTAATAATTCTAAAAGATTATTATAATTTAAAATCTTTAAATATTTGTTACATTATTTAGTCCCAGAATAAAATGCTATTTATATATTGATATATTTAAAAAATTTATCGTTATATAAAAGTAATTAAAAGTCACGATAAATTTCTGAACATCAATGTCATTTAAATTGTTATATGCAATAAAAAGCATAAGAACCATGGTTAGTAATTATTAATTCTATTCTACAAATATAAATTAATTAATGAATAAAAACAACGAGTTTTGTATTAATAACAAAATTTAATGAAATATATCTTTTATCATCACTTAATCAGCAATCAATTGACTTTTAAATATACATTTAAATTAATGAATGTTAATAAAAAATTAATTAGTGATATGTATATAAATAATGGCAATAAAAAAGGCAAATAAAATATCAATATATTTACTGTCGAAAAATATGAGACAACATTGAACTGGATTTACATTCGAGACGATAGACACCGAGTATTAGACAAATGACTGGAGGATAAGGAGGGGTATAGGGATGTGTGTGTGAGTGAGTGTATGCATGTTTTGCGTATATGTTCAATGAGCAGGGTAAATACAAATATCAATATAACATGGTATGATAATACGACCAAAATAGTTAGCATTTACGAGACAACAGTAGGCATAATAACTGGTTATGAGGCGATTAATAGTATTGGTTTATTTGGTTTTTAATTGTTACCTGTATTTCACCGGTAATTTTGCCTAATTTTTGGTCGTCTATACCTATTATGTCACACTACAGGACAGGTGAGAGAAAAAAGTACACGTTCAAATAAACATGATGCTAATTATTATAATGTACAACGATATGGCATGCATTATATAACTCACTCATCAATTTTATTGAGTTGCAATTTCAATGTGCCTATCACCATGATTTAATTGACTATGATATATTATATTTCGATATGCTATTTATTTCGTTGTATATTTAATTATGTAGTTGAATTAGAAATGCCTAAAATGATACGATTGTATCAAATAGTTTATAAAACAAATGGAAATTGCAATCCATTATGAATTGAACTCAATTAACGTGATGTTAATCCAAATTCCATCTTTACCTACACACTATATTCTCAGTCAGATATATATGTCAATCATAACTTAAGAATGATAAGATTCCTGTCAGGCCAGAAATTAGGTAAATTATATAGGTAAAGTGCGGGATATTTCTACTAATCTATTGGTAATTGTTATTTCAATTCAATTTCAATCAAAAGTTTCCTATGGATTGCAATGATATGCGAGAAAAGTTTGTCCCATAATGTTTAGCATCATTAGAGACACTACAGGCCAGTGTCTGCCAATTTTTTATCATCATAAATATAATTCAAATATATTATTGAATGCATGATCAGATTCTGGGAATGTTTAAACAAGTTATGTTACTAAAAAATGCTCAACATTGCTGTTTAAAACAAAACAAAAACTACACAAAATGTTTATAATAAATGCATTATTTTTGGCAATAATTATTGTAGACATATAATCATGTAATGCAATAAATAAACGCACAAATATTGCTTCCGATGTGATGTTAATGCAAAACGTAAGTCTTATGTAACTTTTATTACCGCATAAATCTTAGCCATTATCCCAATTATTCTCAAAACACATTCAATAAATTATTTGAGTTGTAATTCTTGTCCGAATTACTCTCTAATGGTTGGAATATTTATCATTTCTATCTTAAACCATAAAGAATTTGCATTTAATTAGAATATATATATTCTTATATTCCGATATAAGTATCCAATGGACAGTTATGTAAGATACAGGTGCTCTCACCTTATAGTTGTCATCATCATTGTCTATATTGGCATCGAATGATTGTTGTTCATTGAGTGCAACAATTTGTTCACTGCATTCAACACTTTTCTCTTCGGGAGTTAGAAGTATTTGTATCGTAAAAATCATAGACATTACATGTTTCGTGCATTTGGTATGAGATATGAAATTAAGTCAAAGTCTCGATTATAAATAACATAAAACAAATGTTGTTTTCATTTTGGTAAATTATGGTAAACAATAGCATTTTAATTACAATTTTCAAATCATTCAATTCAACTATCCATTTGCTAACAAACTTTTAATTATATATAGTTTATTATAAATAGCGATATAGTAATGTTAGTTATATTATGTAAAAACTGTATTCACGCAATGCATATAATGGTTACTTTTATAGTTATCTATTAGTATATAAATTGTGTTAATGTTGAATGAAATCCTTACCAATTTGTACGTTATGTGTCTGTTGTGGATGTGTTTGTTGCTGGTATTGGAGTTGCTGTTGCTGTTGGAGGTACTGTTGTTGCTGTTGGTGGTGGAGTTGCTGCTGTTGTTGAAGTTGTTGTTGTTGTTGATGTTGAAGTTGTTGCTGCTGTTGCTGATGGAGTGGTTGCTGTTGCTGTTGATGATGGAGTTGCTGTAGTTGTTGCTGTTGGTGGTACTGTTGAGCGGCCATCGACTCGTCGATGGGATGGTTGTGCTGAAGAATCACCTGAGGATAGGGCGGCGGTTGCTGTTCGTACTGTTGGTTGTGGTACTGATTGGTTGTGGGAATCATATTAATGTCGGTCCGAATCACTACTTCGATCTCATCGCCCACTTGAGTGGTGATGATTCTGGAGACCTCGTCGTGCGATATACCCGTCAATGGTATGCCATTCCACTCAATCACTTGCATTCCTATAGACAAACATACGGTTATTAGTCATATAATTGCTATTAAATATAAGGTGTATTTTTTATTATCATTTAATATTTAAAATTATAGGTTATAAAAGTCATCATTTTTATGATCAATGGGATCCCATGTTTATATTTCGTTAGCATTGATAAATGACAATCATATAAACTTTTAGACTATATTAATTCTATGGTTTATATTAAGGTATAAATATCAAGTTATTCCCCTATATGGTAGTTAATGTACTCTTCTCATGCAAATCTTGTTTAATTTTAAATAATAATTTATTGATAAGTGAAATAATATTAATAGAATTATTTTCTAGAATATAATTAGATCTTAGTTAATATCATAAATTAAAATATTTCTATCAAAGTGCTTTTCTTATCAAAGTAACGAATAAACATAAATACAATTAAAGAATAGAGAAATGTGTTGTATAGAAAATTATCATATATTAATGTAATATTTATTCATTAGTGTTTCATATAATACATGTAAGTTATAAGTAAAACACTAAAGAATACGATTTCAATATGCAGTGCATTGTATATCAACAGAATATATAATCCACAGAACTTTATATTTCCCAAAACAATTTGAGAGAATAATCATAAAAATAATAATATTTTTCTAAAGGAAGTTAATCATATGAATTGTCATATGCTATACGGAATCCTTTAATCAACAAATTTTTGACATACTTTTATTATATAAAAGTGGTAATAAAAATAATACTAGAGTTTAAATTAAATTTACTAAAATTAAAAATAATTACACACAATTAGTCTATATNGTCTATGATTTTTACGATACAAATACTTCTAACTCCCGAAGAGAAAAGTGTTGAATGCAGTGAACAAATTGTTGCACTCAATGAACAACAATCATTCGATGCCAATATAGACAATGATGATGACAACCATAAGGTGAGAGCACCTGTATCTTACATAACTGTCCATTGGATACTTATATCGGAATATAAGAATATATATTCTAATTAAATGCAAATTCTTTATGGTTTAAGATAGAAATGATAAATATTCCAACCATTAGAGAGTAATTCGGACAAGAATTACATACAACTCAAATAATTTATTGAATGTGTTTTCAAAATAATTGGGATAATGGCTAAGATTTATGCGGTCATAAAAGTTACATGAGACTTACGTTTTCCATTAACATCACATCGGAAGCAATATTTGTGCGTTTATTTATTGCAATACATGATTATATGTCTACAATAATTATTGCCAAAATAATGCATTTATTATAAACATTTTGTGTAGATTTTGTTTTGCTTTAAACAAAGCAATGTTGAGCATTTTTAAGTAACATAACTTGTTTAAACATTCCCAGAATCTGATCATGCATTCAATAATATATTTGAATTATATTTATGATGATAAAAATTGGCAGACACTGGCCTGTAGTGTCTCTAATGATGCTAAACATTATGGGACAAAC